GAGGAGAGTGACAAGAGCTTTAGTGCTCACATTCAGGAGTGCATTTACACAGTAAGTACTGGTGTGCTAGCTGCACCCATTCCTTGAGATGTCCAATTTGGCTGCAGAGACTCATGCTTTAGCCACATCCCACTTGGATTATTGTAGTCTGTGTTGGATTGCCTTTGATGGCGGTTCAGAAACTTCAGCTGGTTCAAAATGCTGCACTCAGGCTGCTGACCCAGGCTGGTAACAGGAAGCATGTCACTTCCCTGTTACAACAGCGTCACTGGCTACCGTTCTGATTCAAGTCAAAGTGCTGGTTATGACCTATAAAATCACTGGCTACCGTTCTGATTCTGGGCCCAAGTCAAAGTGCTGGTTATGACCTATAAAGTCCTTTGTGGCTTTGGATCCAGGAGATCTGAAGGACCATATCTACCCATATGAGCCTTCTCGGCTTCTAAGATCTTCAGAGGACCTTCTCTTGGTCCTGTTGCTATCTCAGGAATGTCTGATAAGAACTCGAAAGAGAGCCTTCTCTGTGACTGGTCTGTGCCTGCTCTCTTGGGGGGTTAGGTTGCCCCCCTCCCTTTTATCTATTAGACAAAAGTTAAAAGACCTCTGTTTTTATGCATGGATTTAATAACTAAATTGGGCAAGATTAGTCTCTTCTGGGTGTTGGACACATGCTCCTTTCAAGTGCATTTTAAAGCTTTTAATTGTTAGAAAACCTTTTTAATTACTATTATGTGTTTAATAGGTTTTTTTAGTTTTTATTTTTTTTACAAAATTGTTTATTGTGGCTTTAGTCTAACTAAAAGCAGCCTTGAATTCATTACTGGGAGAAAGGTGGCCAAGAAATGAAACAAACAAACAAGTGAAAAAAAAGTTATACTGGGAGAAAGCCATCAGAAGCATCATTAAAATCGCAGTGTAGGGAGGAAGCAATGTGCTGATTTAAAGGAGAACTGGGGTAGATCTATGTACAGATGGAGAATACCAGAACCTTCTAATAAAAATAGCAAAGAGACAATTCAGGTAGCTCAGGACGTCAAAGACAGGAAGGAACTAAGTTTCATATCTCGTGATCTTATGATGACACAGCAAAAAAACCCATGGAAAAACTAGTAAAAGCTTTTGAAGGAGCAGTAATTCTGAGAGCTGGGGCTGGTTCTAAATTTTTCTTTCTCCTTTTTCCCCTCTCCATCCTGTTTTTTCTCTCTTGTGTTATGTCTTTTAGATTGTAAGTCTAGGGCCAGGCCTGCCATGTTACTTAGTTTTATTAACCAACAAAGGGTATATTTTAGCTAAAGTGAGGGGTAAAAAAATTGAAGTGTTCTGAATGATCTTATTCATGATTGCTTCCAGGTTCAGCATTTAAAAAGTCCTGCATGGTAGTGCCAGGCAGTAAGAATGTTGAAGAATTCTGAGTCAGTTTCATCTACTGTATCTTGAACAGAAAAAGAAGTACGTATCTATAATGTTGAAATGAACATAGTCCTCATTCACTGATCACTAGCTCCTGAATCCAGCTTCACAAAGGTTAAAATGACTCCCACCTTCACCTCAGCCCCTTATCCAAATTCTGTGCAGCTCTTTCTTTTGCTCCTCTTCCTCCCTCCCTCTCTCTCTCTTCCTCTTGACACTTAATAATCTTAGATAGTAATAATCTTTGAATTGCAGAGCTGGAAGGGACCCTCTGTATCATCCAGTCCAGCCCCTGCCAAGGAGGCTCAGTGAGGAATTAAGCTCCCAACCTCCGGTTCCACTTAAACCATTGAGCTATCCAGCAGTTTGTTCACCTTGTCAAAGAAGGACAGATCTCAGAATCTCCCAGCCAGGATGACTCCCAATGAATGAACACTGGGAGGCTGCTCTAGCCATAAAAGTATGACATAGTTATGTGCCACACAATCCTGTAGGCAACAGAAAATAATAGCAATGCCCCTAAAGAGCCCCAAAGTGATTTTCATGTACACTATCCAACCTTTTTTTTTAAAAAAAAAAATTCAGACCACCCCAAACCTACCTTTTACATTTCATGAAATTCCAACCACCTGTTTTTGCTACGTAATGGACAGAGAGAGAAAAAACACAATTTATGTAGATTGACAATGTAGCTACACACACACACAGACACACACACAGTACGAAACTAAGGGCTAAATCCATACATTAGTGCTAATTAAAAATAGATTTATTGAATCAATAAATTATTGATTTAACAAGTTCCTTTCACTGAATGAGTACCTACTTTAACTGGAACTAACAGTTGGATTTATCCCATCAGGTGCAGTCTTCTGCATATGTCAATTCCTACACAAGTCCAATGAAATGAGTGGGAGGATTCATTATGACAGATACTATGTAGTAATTACAGATTTGATTAACATAAGAAAATGGATATGGTGAACCAATGCAGGAATACACAATGCAGGAATTCATTGTATTTTATAAAAGCATTTAAAAAAAACACATGTTAGCAGAGTTCATAGAATTACACACAGTACAGTAAACAAATGATTTGCCCTCTGTCCTAGCACTAGAAGTGAACTGCCTGCAGGAGATTCAGAACAATCAAAGCAGTACATCTTCACATAGAGCAGAATTAACCTTTGAAATTTATTATAGTGATGGGCTCTGTAGCACCCGCAGAGGGCAATATCTTTAATTCCCTTAATTGTATAAAACGAGTAACTTTAGGAGTTAAAATTGAGTAGCATGTTTCCAAACACATACACCTCATTGCTTAAGAAATTACCTAGACATTGCTTTTAAGATAGAAAGAAAAGAGCTCTTTACTCACCGGGGCTGCAAGTTGTAGATCCAGTCCCAAGAGGTAGGGAAGGTGACTCTTACAAGAATATAGCCACGAAATGTGATTAGACACTTTAATGGAGGGCAGGTTTATAAATGGACATTAGGTGTCCTGACTTCATGTACTGGTTCACTACCAGGTTCAGAAATGGAGTTTCTCAGAATTAATGTTTCTTTGAGGTTGTGATGGGGATGTCTACCAAAGCGGTTCTTATTTTAAGGGCACAAATGTTCTTTCTCATACTTGACAGCCAGTCCTTCCCCCAAGGAACTCGGGGCAACTTAGAGTGGAATTGTCTTACTCTGTCTTCTCATCAACCCTCCCAGGAAGGTCAGCCTTGGAGAGAGTAAAGGCCACACAGGCCAAACCTTGCTTAGTGAGGTTCACAGAACCTGAAGCCAAGTCTCTCTAGCTCAGATGCATTAGTCTTGGCTCACAACCCATCTTATCCACATGTATCTCTGTCAAAGCTTGAAAGTAATGAGTTACAATTAACACGTTATACCCCTAACAGAGCTATTTGTATACTACTCCTGTTATTACTGCCACTGTTTATACTAATAATGATGCAGGGAGAGTATATAAAGTAACATGTCCCAAAGCAGCAGATGGAACTCAAAATGTTGAAACAGGCAATGGTCTCTATTTCCTTTTCCATTTAAAATTATTTGAAATCCTTTTTAGAGAAATCTTCCCCTCTCCAAGGTTTGTTCAGTTCTCTGCAAATATAATCCCCCTCAGTTAGGATAGGGAAACAAGGAGATCTGGAGAAATTTTGGGGAGGGGGGCTCACTCATGGAATGGTTATTATGGTGATTAATAAAGAAATAAGGGAAATATTCTGGAATCTCTTAGAATGTTTTCTACCGATATAAACAGGGCTATTTAGAAGTAGGTAAGTTGTGAATGGTGGTCATTTTGTACCAAAAACACCCACCACCCCCGGTTACATAAGCACGCAGTTTAGCCTTGCTGTGGAGCCAGAGGTTGGAGGTTCAGTTCCCACAGTGCATCCCAGTAGAGCCAGCCTGTGTGGCCTTGGGCAGGCTGCACAGTCCCAGGATGTCCCCAAAACAAGAGAAGGGTGAACCACTTCTGAGTACTCTCTACCTAGAAAACACTGAAAAAGGGTCACCATAAGTCAGAATTGACTTGACGGCACACAGTGGTTATTATTTTTAGTCTAAAGCATATTATTTGCTTGTTAATAGGTTCCCCAGATGTCCAGAGAGGCTTGTCTACTGGCCCAGTAGGGGCAAACGTGACATGCCTATAGTCTCTTCTCTGTTGGCATATATATATCCCTGGGAGACAAAACCCACATCCCAATCTGACAATAACAGGGTTGGCCCTACCCAGAGGCAGAGAAAGGCCCCAATGTCAAGGCAGACGATTCCAGGGGTCATGAAAGAGCAGGAAGTAGCTATTTAATTGGCTGTTATTGCCTGTACTTTTATCATTGAGGTGAGCAGTGCTATTTTTCTGCCTTCTGTGTCAGGATAATTTGTCTGGCCTTCCTTGATTTGGAGGACTGACGTGATGGGAGGCAGTGCCTTCGGTTAATCCACTTTAGGCAAGAAAATACCTTGGACCAGAGCTGGTCTTAAAGGGGGCCCAGGAAGAGAATTTTTCTTTAAAAGCCTACTGAGTGTGTTCTGAACCAAGTTACATGCCATTAATGTCTGCCTAATAGGGTTTCTCAGTGAAGTTAACGTATTTAAGTGGTGGTTTTACTAGTGCCACCACCCCCAACAGTTTCCTTGGCAGACAAAACCCAGGTCCTCTGAATCCCAGTCTAACACTCTTTCTACTACATACCCCACGTTGTCCCCCCCCCCGGCCCACCAAGAACCCACTACCCCCATTCTGATCCAACTCGGGCGGCAATTGCTGCGAAGGAGGACGGCGCAGCGGCGGGAACAAAGCGGAGAGGAGCCAATGGACGGGTGAGGAGGAGATTGGAAACAAGCGAGCCCGGAGGCGGGAGGGAAAGGAGGAGCAACTGGTCGCCCAAGGACCCCTGGCTAGAGAGGAGGGGGTCGAGCAGCGGGGCGGGCAGGTGCGCGCCCGGGAGCGGAAGCCTCGCCAGCCCCCGAGACGGTGCCTTGGGAGGCGGCCGTTGCCCGCCGAGGTCTCCCTGGGAAGGCAGCCCAGCTGCGCGGGCGAAGGGCGCCCGAAAGGCTCCCCGAGGACCAGGATGATGCGGAAGGCCATGGCGAAGTCTCAGAACTTCCGCATCGACGCCCTCCTGGCCGAGGAGCCTCCCCGGCCCGCGCCCGGCGCCTCCCCGGAGAGTTCGGCCGGGAGCCCCGGCGCCTGCGGGCGCAGCGAGACGCCCTCTCCGTGCGCGCCGTCCAGCTTCGTCTCGGTGCCGCCCACGGCCTTCATCCCCAAGCCGGGCTTGCTGAACATGGTGCCTCCGGGACTGGGCGGCCTGCCAGCCGTTTACCCGCCTCCTCTCTACCCGATCCCGGCTCTGGCGGGCCAACAGCACCCGGCGTTCACTTACACCGCCGCTTTCGCTCACCTGCCCCAGCTGGGCGCCGCCGAGCACTTGAAGGCTGCCGCTGTCGCCGGATCCCTCCCGTTAGAACACTGGATTCGAGCCGGGATCATGCCCCCCCGCCTCCCGGACTTCTACGGTGAGTAAGGACCGAGCCCCGGATTTCCGAAAGGACAACCAGACCTTGCGCCCGCCCCCAAGGCGCAGCGCTCAAGTCTCCCCGGGGCGCAAGGTTTGGTCCTGGCGGACATGGTGCCCCGTGGCAGCGGCTTCCTCAGCCCACGGCGGGCCCAGTAAACTAACAACACCCAGAGATAGAATCGTATTCTGCTGATCGAGTATTGTGGCTTCTTCCAAAGCTGGGAGTTTCCTCTTTGTCCCGAAAGTCTGTTTCTCCTTCTGGATAGCCGAAACTGGTATCCAGAAAAAGATCCTCTGACCCGTTTTGAAAACATCATTTACGCAGGGGAAGGGCTCGGAAAGCTCCAGGTGAGGGAGTGTGGCTGATTGCTGAAACGCAGAGTTAAAGGGTGAAAATCGGTTCTTCGTGGTACATGAAGACCGCCACTGGTTTAGGTATCGTCAGGAAGAGACCTTCCTGGATAATAGGTCATTATAGTGCCTTTTTACTAATGTGGGAAACGGGCAGCAGATAATGGACCTTTGATCCGATCCTGCCGTGTTCTGGACTTCAATCGGGCTGGGGAAAGTGCTGAAGTTCGTGTCATTCATCATCACGTTCCCCACCTCACTCTCTGTATAAACGATATATGTACGCATAACACCGGATTTATTTCATTTTTTTATTGTTATAATTTGTTTACTACTTGAAGTAGCTTACATTTATAGGAGAAGCGAAGTTGCTAATTGCAACAGCAGAGGAATCAATTACCAGGAGGAAGGCGCGCGCTCTTTCTGTCTCTGGAACTCCTCCAAAAAAAGGGGGGGGCTTGTGAAGGTGCTTCCTCTCCCCGACTCCCGAATTCCTCTGCTGAGTGCTGTGTGGTCCAATGGCTTGCATGGCTCTCTCCAGCTTCTGCTTCTACCAAATGTGATTTTCAGCCTTGGAAGTTCCCAGTCTTAGGACACAAGTTCCCCTGAGTTTCGCGGGACTTGGACCCAAGGGAATATAAATTTAGGACTACTTGTTATGTAAAACAAAACCTCCTCCCAGTCCCCATACTCCAGTTAAGCGGCAGTGCCTTGGGCGAGAAGGTGGTTTACAATGTGCACCTGCCAATCCTGGGGGGGACATGAAGTGCAATTGAAAAGTGGCCAAGCAAAGGTCCGGAGAATTTATTGTCCTATGACGTCCAGCCGCTTCCAACTCAACAACAACTCTGTATGACGTCCAAACGGTCCTATTTGTAACAATCCAGGTCTTGCAGCTTCAAGGCTGTGGCTTTTTTTTTTAAACTGAGTCAGTCCTAACACACACCTGGGGTCTTCGGTGAAATAAAGAGGTTCGTGGCAGTTTTCCTAAGCTCTTCCTATATTTAATTGTGGTTAAGGAAGGGGAAATTTAATGATACTTTCTTCACACTCCACTGGAAAAAACATCACAAAGAGTCGTTCTGCAATGAAAAAAAAATCAAGGAAAGACTCCAGTGACAATTTAAAGACAATAGCAATTTATTACTAAGTTGCCACGTTTATTATAGCATGAGTAGCTGGGGATTTCAACCCAGCTCCATCAGATGTATTGTCCAGGATTTCCGGGATTTGGCAAGCCTATCTTGTAAACAAACGATTTAAGTGTTCCTGATAATAGTCAGCTGAGGCGAAATCAGTTCGGTGGCCAGAAACACAGACCTAATTTTCTCAAACAGCAGATGGGCTGGCAAGCCTACCTCTGGCCTGCCCTCCTTGGAAGAACAGGTGTGTTCTTCTCTGTGCAGTCAGTTCCGTGCAAGCTGGAAAGCGAAATGTCAGAAAGAAGGATTTTTCCTTTCACGGGACTAAAATACCAAAGAGTGCTGTAGCTCTTATGGTGCTCTGAGCACGTTCCTCTGTAAAGATTCTCAGTCATCCAGGTGAGGTTATCTGAAAGTTGAGTCATGGCAAGTGGACTTCTTTCTCGTTAGGTTGAAACTTTTCACTACTCATCCAAGTAGCTTCTTCAGTCTGAGGAGAGGTGGTAGGAGATCCCTGATAGATCTATTGGTTTCACTTCCCCCTGGTCTGAATAGGCTCCTTAGATGGATAAAGGACGGGCCGAGGGGGGGGTGTGTGTGAGTGAAAATCCCAGCTTTGCAGTCCTTCTCCACTCGTTATCAACCAGAAGTCCCGTTGCCATGACTCAACTTCCAGATACTCTGAGGACGTTGTTCGAGCGTCCGGACACTTAACCTTGACGGCTGTTTTTCTCTGTATAGGACAGGTTAAATGTGTGGGGAAACAGGTCCAAGAAGCCGTTTAAAGGGGTACTGACAGGGCACAGATTATCACACAGCCGCTGTTTGTGAGAAGTGGGAGGCAGATGCTTTTGAATAAAAATAGCATTGGTCTGAAAAATGAGTGGGTGGTGAAGGAGGACAAACTCCCGCCTTCTTCCCTGGGGAATTCCTTGATCCCTGGCACATCATCTTAATTTTCTTAACATCCAGTCCCTCCAATCGTATGCATATTTACCAAGGAATAAACTCCACCGTCTTGTGTGGGGTTATTCCCAGGTAAATGGGTTGGGGATAATGGCAGTGGTAGTTCCACTGTAGCCTCGATGGATGCAGTGAAGTGTGCAACAGGAGTTGAGTAATCAGATCTCTAAGTAAGTAGGTTTGGTACCCTGATGGATAGAGCAAAACCGAGTTGCTACAGAAATCGCGCAGAATTCAGTGATAGCGGAAGGTTTGACCCGAACTGGTTGCAATGAAAGTAGAGAAGCGGCTAAGGTCCATTCTAGGAGGTGCAATG